TGGAGTCACGGACAGGATCGGCAGGATACTGGAGAAACACAAAGTCAAAACAGTTTTTAAACCAACTCGAACAATCCAACAGACTTTGAGATCGGCCAAGGACAAACGGGATTCTTTATCAGCACCAGGAGTCTACAGAGTTCCACGCAGTTGTGGCATAGCATACATCGGCACCCCAAAACGTAGTGTTACAAGTTACAGATTAGGACAAACAGAAAAATCAGCAGTAGCGGAGCACGCACTGAGAGAGAGACGGCCACCAAATACGTTTCGATGAAGTGGACATTTTGCACCAATCTTAACGCTATTACCCGAGACTAACCAGAGAGGCCATTGAGATCTTCAAACATGACAACAATTTTAATAGGAAAGAAGAAGTAACGGCCCTTAATCCAGATTTCAAGAGCGTTTTGCGGCAAACAGCGTGTGCGCCAAAACATTTGAAGCCCCGCCCACTCCCTACGCATGAGCTCACACGGCCGGGCTGTTCAGTAGTTGAACCAGTCTTAGTCGGTAAGCACGGTAGATCACTTCGCCGACTGCCTCGTCGCCTTTGATAATGTCCACCGCAGTTGTGGACGAAACGTCAGGGATAAATTCCCATGGGCCACGGCTTCAAAGCCCGGAAAACATTTCTAAATGTGATTTGACCGACTGTGAAAGCATTCATAGTCTGATAGTGTTGATTTATATATGATTTTATTATGAACTTATAGAACTGTAGCTAGTCATTAAATATTAATTGCTATACCAAATCTATTGCAACATCCCTGTATGATACTGCGTCATGACCATCAAACCACAAAAACATAACTGTGTAGGAATAAGCACTGAGTTTTCAAAATTCACCACCACAGCACACCTCTGAACCACCACTCTAAAGCAATATTTACAATTCAAATCGTCTGGCTTTATCTTCAGCCACTTCTCGGCTTACTCGAAAATGTTCAGGGAAAAGTTCTCGAAAATGTTCATGTTCATGAAAATTCAAGACCCGTATATTGAAACATGGACTCTTCCAAAATCTTATTTTTTTTGTCTTCGCTTACCACAATTATACAAAACGACTGGATGAACTTGTATCATTGTTTCCAAACATTTAAAATTGAAATAATGTGCTCTATATGGAAAAGATAAACCAATTGCGTACAAAAACTCATTCACTAGACATTTTCACAAATCTGAAAATTTTATTTCTTGTAGGAACCATGCGTTTACCCTTTCTAATCTTAACACGTATTTTGACCACTGGTACAAGAGCAAGTTAAATCTTTATTGCCTAAATCAAGCTAAGGCTATTAATGATTAGGACATTACAACAGATTTACTGAAAATATTACCTCTACCTTAAACTACTATTACCTTAAACTTTGTATCAAACAACAAAAACGATCGAATACAGATTCAGAATCATCATCATATCAATCATATATTTTAAGCCAGATTGTAAAACAGCCCAAAATGCACAGCGCAAGTTTCCAATTAAACATTTCTTAGTTAGCAGTTTGATGTTCCAACTCGTAATTTGTCCTGTGTGAACGTCGGATTCTTAGTCGGATGCGATATGTTAATTTGTTCTATTTCTAAATTTCAGTTGTTGAGTAGTCAACAGGATAACGTGCTTTCACCGTTTATTTTGTGTTTGAATTTTCTCAAACGATGCCTGTTTCAGATTTTCAACGTCCGCTTTTTTGCAGGAACGCGCGAGAGCTGCTGCTATGGGCTACCCTGATCCTACTAACCCCAACTTTGAAGCTACTACTGAAATGTATCACAAAACACTGACCGAGTGTCTGAGAAGAATTAAGGCTTTCAAAGATAAGGGAGAGGACAAGATGATTGCTATCATGGTGGCATCTCACAATGAGGATACTGTACGATTCGCCATAGAAAAAATGAAGGAATTTGCGATTGAACCATCTGATAAAGTAATTTGCTTTGGCCAGTTGTTGGCCATGTGCGATTACATCACGTTCCCGTTAGGTTCGTATAAAACAACTCAATCTAATTAGAATACACAATCATGTGTTTTCGTAATCGGTTTTAGGACAATCTGGCTACTCTGCTTACAAATACATCCCGTATGGCCCAGTGAACGAAGTATTGCCCTACTTGTCGAGAAGGGCACACGAAAATAAGGGTGTTCTCCAGAAAATTAAAAAAGAAAAGAGACTGTTAGCTAGGGAAATCCTGAGACGCTTTGCTACTGGCAAGATTTTCTATACACCAAAAGGCAACTACATCCCCGTATAAGTTATTGAAATGTAAGTGATATTGATAGCTGGTATTCGTCCAAAGCCTTAATTAAAATATGTAACTTGTTTCTTCCTACTTTTAAAAATTGCGTGTATAACGAAAATAATATTTTTATTGATGGATTTATTTCAAAAAATCCAAAAACGTGAACAAATCTATACATGATTGGTGATTGAACATTTCGAGTATTAGACCGAGTGGTTTTTTTTATTTTTAAACGTTGAAATATTTCGGTAATAGGGATACTATGAAAAATTGTGTCAAATAAAAAGTTAATATCTGAGAGGGAATTTTACTCGTGTTAGAAAAAACGCCTACTTCGTCCTTGTAGGCAAGGCAGGGGCCAAGTGGATAATTTCAAATACAAATCAGATCATTTTACTACAGATTCGAGTAGTACGTCAAAAACTGAGGATGTTTGATCAAGACATTTTCTTCGATTTTGACAAGTTGCTCTCTATGGGGCCAAGTATGAAAATTTGTGTCAAAAGATAATAGCGCCTCTTAGAATGACTTCCGGGCCTGTTTTTTTTTTAATGTGTTTAGACTGATACAGATTAATGGAAAATTATTGATAATGCCATAATGTGTCCGTTCACACGTGGGTATAACCTCAACGATCCCGCTCAGTTTTTGACGTACTTCTCGAACCTGCAGTAAAATGATGTGGTTACTATTTGAAATTATCAAGTTGGCTCCTGTCTAGCCTACAAGATCGAAGTAGCCGTTTTTTATCGCGAGTAAACTTTC